ACAACAAATTTTGCATTTTTACCACAATTAAAAGTGTGTGTATGCATGTGTGTGGTATCACATATGTGATCTTAATAGATGCAGAAAAAGCATTTGGTAAAATTCAACACTCACTCTGGATAAAAATTCTCAACTAAGAAAGACTAAATGGTTTTCCTTCTAAGATCAGTAAAAAAGCAAGAATGGCCATACTTGACACTTCTACTCAGCATTGTAGAGAGTGATAAAGGCTAAATAAATAAAAAGTAAAAACTTGTAGATTGTAGGAGGGATTGGGGTCAAAATAAGGGGGAGTGCAATTGTATGGGGAATATAACCAAGATGGAAATACATACATTGTACAAAAATGAAAAATGATGTAAAAAATATATTAAAAAAAAGAAAAAAAACTTGCAGATTGCAAAGAAAGGATTAAACCTCTTCTTAGCAAAGTCACAGAGTACTACATCAATATACAAAAAAATTATGTTTCCATATATTAGCAAAGAACAGCCCAGAAATGAATTAAGGAAACATCCATTAACAATAGTATCAAAAACAATTAAATACTTAGGAATAAATTTAACAAAAGTCAAAATTTGTACACTGAACATTATAAAGCTGCTGAAATTAAATAGAAATAGCAATAAAAGGGACATTCCATGTTCACGGATTGAAAGACCCAAATTTGTTAAGATGGTGGTTCTCCCTAAATTGCTCTACAGATTCAATGTAATCCCCAGCAAAATCCCAAGAGGCATTTTTATAGAAATTAGTAAGTTTATCCTAATACATGGAAATGCAAAGGACCCAGAATCATCAAAAACAATTTTGATAAAAATGTGGAAGACTTATAAACTAAGTCAAAGCTTTCATTGGCATAAAAGTAAGCAAACAGAATGGAACAAAATTGAGAGTCTAGAAATAAATCCTTACATTTATGGTCAACTGATTTTCAACAAAGGAGTCAAAAGCAATTCATTGGTGGGGGGATAAGGGGAGAAAAGAGCCTTTTCAACAAATGCTACTGGAGTAATTGACTATGCATATATAAAACTGTTTTGAGATTCTCACAACTCAGAACAGATTATATCTAAATTTAAGTTAAAACTATAAAGCTGCTGGAAGAAAACATTGGAGAAAATATTTGTGACTCTGAGTTGGGTAAAGACTTTTCAGATGACACCCAAAATAGAGTTCACACACACAAAAAAAATCAATATAACAGAACATCAAAATTAAAAATGTTTGTGACTCAAAGGGCAGCATTAAGAAAGGAAAGAGTAGCCACAAACTGGAAGAAAATGTTTGCAACTCCTTTCTCTGATAAAAGTTTATATTCAGAACACACAAAGAATCCTTGCAACTCGGTTGAAAATGAGCAAAAGATTTGAATAGACATTTCTTGAAAAAAGATATGAATGGTTAATAAACACATGAAAAGCTGTTCCACATCATTAGTCATTAGGGAAATGTAAATTAAAGCCACAAGGAGCAGCCATTACTTAGAACAGCCATAAGCACAAGACAGATGATAAGTCTTCGTGGGGTGAGGAGTAACCAGACCAGACCTCACACACACCTTGCTGATGGGAATAGAAAGTGGTGCAGCCACTTTGGAGAACAGTTTGGCAATTTCTTAAAAAGTTAAACTTATCCTAGGACCCAGTAATTCCACATGGAGACATTTCTCCAAGGGAAATGCAAAGATTCCACAAAGCCTTGTGATTATTCCTATCAGCTTTATACATAATAGCGAAGTCTGGAAATAATCTAAATGCACTCATCAGCAGGTGAACAGATTAGCCAGATGTGGTATATCCATACACTAAACCAGCCAGCAAGAATGTGCCTGAGCTAGGAAGCCAGACACAGGATCCTTTTCACAGGGGACATTCAGAAAAGACAAATCTACAGCTACTGAAAGCAGATCAGGTATCACTTGGAGCTGGGGATGGAGACGGGAATTGACAAAACAACACAGAGGAATTTGTTGGGTGATGAAAAGGTTCTGAAATTGAGCTGTGTGGATGGCAGCACAACTCAACAAATGCGCTACAAATCACAGCCTCACATAGGCAGTGGGTGAATTCTGCGGTATGTAGGTCACACTTCAATGTCAAAGCTGTAAAAGGCCATACCCAGCAAGGGGTGGGGAGCACTCATCCTACACCCAACAGCCTGCCTCCTGCTTCTGTGCCCTTTCCACAGCCTGATACCCACAGCTCTCCCTGCAGGGACCCACCCAGGCACCCCAGCTAGTGGCCCCCAGGGAGCGTGTCCTGCCCCTCCTCTGGGTGGGGTGGGTCCACTTGAGGCTCTCACCCAGTTCCTCTAGAAAAGCTTGTTAAAGAGAAGTAAGACCACCTGTGTCTGAAGTGCCTTCCAGAGGCCGGGAGTCTCTCACAGGGGAATAATGAAGCTTAAAACTTCTATTCGGCAACTAAATGCAGAAGCGGACTCTGGTGTCTTCCTAAGCTAAGGTCATTAGTATGATGGGTCAAATGCATTCCAACAGCTGCTTCTATGACTTATTGTATTACCACCTTTCCTCAAAAATCGCTCTCTCCGCCCCTCCCGCCATCTCGCCCCAGCAAGCCCTCCCCACATGTGAGACAGCTGGGCCAGGGCCTGGAGGATGAGGCCGAGGGGCGGGGCGGCCGTCCCGCAAGCAGCTTGACCGGAACACACACCTGATGTCACACACATTTCACAGTGAGCGGGGTAGGGGCTCCTGCTTTGCAGGCCTGTTCCCAGGACCTCAATCCCCAGCGGGGCCCAACTGTTGCTCTTCCCCACAAGCCCAAGCCCTGTTTCAGGCCCAGGCTGGGCTGCTTCACTCAACCCCAGCAGGCACAAAAACGACAAAACATCGCAGATCCCCCCTCAGGTCCACATGCGGGCAGAATAGTGGGGAGACCCTGAAACGGGAAATCTGAACTCGGGGACCAGGACTCCAGCTGAAGTCTCTGCAGCAATAAGGGAGCCACACAGGCCCGACCAGCCAGTACCAGGACAGGGCGACACTCCGGCTAGGGCTCCGGTCACCCACCCAGCCTGGTGCTGCCTGGTGGGGGGGCTCCCATTCCTCTCAGCCCGAGCTCCCCACGACTTCTGAGCCACCACGACAGCTAGAATGATTCCACATGATTTGGTGCGGACACCACCACTTTACACACCATTCAGAAGTCAAACCCACAGAAATGCAATTATGGGAGGCGGACACTACTCAACTCCAGCAATGCATCTAGAACTCTACCCTGAAATATCTGCATATTAAACTACCAAGGACAGTTAAGCTTTCAAAGGGAGAAGATCAAAGTGCTGTCATCTTTTAATTTAATCCTTTTGTTGCATCAATGGTCTTAAGAGGGATGAAAGAGATCAAAATAAAAATGGAAACAAACTATATCTTTGTGGCTGTTGTGTTTTAGTCTTTTTTTTTTTTTCCCTCAATTTGGGCCACAAAATAGGTCAGCTCCATTACTGATCAGCCTTCCCACAAATATTTAAAACAAATTGAATTGCACACCCAATACCCATCACAATTACACCAGGCACAATAACTAAATTAGCAATTCAACAAAATAATTGGAAATGCGATTCTCTCTATTCCACCAGTCTCCCTCGAGGGTTTAGCCGATCTATGGGGGAAAACTCAGCTTTCCTAATTCTGCAGCTAATTAGAGACACACTTGTAAATGAAGTTGTTTGTCTTAAAGTTGAAATTCTCTTCTGGGGGTGGGGGGAGGCAGGAGAGATGAGAACTCCTTCCATTCTGGAGCAAGTGCATGAACAGGTATAAAGAACACGCGCCCGGGCTCTGTTGGCCGCATCTGCAATGAATAAGGCGTCACTCTTGCACCATCTCTATTCTGGTAACGAACACCTCCAGGGCAGCCAGCCGGCTGACCGCCTGGCACAGAAACGGATGATTTTACCAGCCCTCAAGCCTGGTCATCTGGACTGCGGGGAGCCACAGACCCCCAGGACCCCGAGAGGGTCAGGGCCAGAGTGGGGTGGCCGAGGCCCCCTCCCAGTGGCCCACAGGTTTGGGCCGGGATAGTCAGAGGCTTGGCCTAACAGGAAGCACCTGTGAGCCTTGTGCCTATCACACCCCCTCCTGGGCACTGAGGGCAGCAACCTTGCCTGCCGGCTCGGCTGCCCCTCCGACTGGAGTGGCCGGCTATCGCAGATCGTTAGTTCGGGCCACTCTTGGAGCAAAGCAATCTTGAGGTTTTAATTAGGCTGTCCTTGGCCTCTTTTTGTTCCTTCACGAAGGAAAATCTTGGGTTAATTATGTAACTGAGAACTAGGGCTTACACTGGTCCCTCCCCGCCTCCTTGAAGATCAGGATGTGGCCTTAAAACACAAACTCTCCACAGGGCTCTGAAGGCTGGAGGTGCCCAGGCCCTCAGGCTTACTCCGCACTGGCCCCACTGAGCTCCTCTGGCCCGTGGGTGGCCCACACAGCACACCAGGGGCCCAGCACCCCACCGGGAACAAAGGCCCGACCTCACCAGCAAGGTCAGCTGATGAAATGGTGGCCCCAGGGCCTGGGGAATCCTCTGCTCCCCAGATCCTCCTAGAACATCACAGCCCCTAGGTAGGGGGTGAGGCCGGAGAAGAGCCTGCTGAAACGCTGATAAGTAAATTCAAAGGCACCTGCTCTTTCCAGCTTATCTTCTCAGACAATATGAACTCTGTGTTATCACATTTAAAGTGTTCCGTATTAGTTTTACTTTTGGCTCTTAAAACCAAGTGCGGTGTGCTACAACTTTAAAGGACATAAGAGTCAAACTGGAAGATAATTTTATGGCATCAGGGAGTCAGTTTCCAGCCTGATTCCGCAGCAGGAGACACAGGGCGAGGTTTGCCTCCCAGGCTCCCCTATGGCCACTCTGAGCACCGAGGCCAGAAACCACTTGCTCCCCCACACCTTCCACTGGCCTGTGGCCACACCCCCAGCCACCAGTCAAGTCCAAAGCAGGGCCTCCCCAGCCTACACATATACCATGTACCTGCTGTGTTGAGAAGCTGCATCCGAGGCGCTGGGACAGCTGGAGCTCTCGCTGCCACATCCGTGGATCTTTTATCCCTTTGTCCGATTTGGCGTTTGTTCTGACTTGCAGAAGGTCGGGAAACATTCCTCTGGACCTGAGCAATCCAATGTAGTAGCTACTAGCCACACTGCTAGCGCCAAAAACTCCCCGTGGCTGATGAGTAAGGTATGAAATCTCTGAGATAGGACTGTATCCCCATCACCCCAGGAAGTTCTACGGACAGTTCTAAGTGGAGTGGACACTCCTAGGCCTAGAAAAGCCTTCTGGACTCCCAGAATGCCCCACAGGAGAGAGGAAGGCGGTGGCTACGAGGGCGAGGAAATGCTCAGAGCAGCCCTCCCCGTGGAGGCAGGACCCCGGTGGCCTGCTAAATGCCGTGTGCTCCCGAGCAGCCACACCTGCGCGGCGCACCTGGCAGCCCGGGAGCTGGGCTGGTGTCAGACCCGGAAGTGCCTGTGAGCACCAGGGCGCTACCCGGCCAGGCTGAGCTCTCGCCTTGCAAGTGAGGCGAGCCAGAAAAAGGGCTGAGAGCCTGGGCTTGCAGGAGCCCCAGGCAGGAGGGATGGAGGCCAGTCCTGTGGGGAGGACCAGTGTGCTCTGACCCAGTTAGTGTGCACAGCTCTCCCTTCAGAAGAGAACTGACACCCACCTGGCGGCTGGGTCTCCTGCCCAAACAGCCCCGTGTAGGCCTCCACTAGTCGTGCCTCGCACAGTGGCTCAATATCTGAATGAAAGGTGTGAACGGCCCACCACCTGTGTAGACCCAAGGCTACTGAGGCTGCCTTTCCTTGGAAACAGCAGCTTTCAAGTGGGAAGGGCCGCTTGATCTGACTCTCATATTACTAATGAGGACCCTGAGGCCCAGAGGTCAAACTCCTCAAGGTCACAGTCTCACAGGTTTGATTCCAGTCCAGGATTCTTCCCACTGCTCCTTTCACTCTCCTCTGCCCTTTACTCAGAATGTCACATAAACCCATTCCAGGGCCATGTGCCCAGAGTGTCTATGAGAACTGGGTAACACGCCCCAAAATAAATCTAGCACCTACCCACCTTGGGAAGGGCAGCCCAGAGGAGGAGGCAGCCAGCTGCCCATGACTAGGCGCCTGCCTCCCTGCGTCCCTAGCTCATTTCCAATCCAGCCACAAAGGGGAAGGTGGGGTGGGTGGGGGCGGGCAGGGACCCTATATGCTACTGTCAGAGTCTACTGGGATCTCGAGGTTCTTTTTCTTCCCTATCAGTGATGTGGGATTGTTTTTTTTTTTTTCCTTAATACATTCTTTTACATTTTCTTTCCTGAGAATTCAATGTCCTTGACCTCAACAAATGAACTGAGAACCTTGAACCAGGGGAAATAAAGCAAGCAAACTTCTCAGGAATATAAATGCTGCGGAGGCAATGACCCTATTGGCAGACCCCACACGATGGGTAAGAGAGGCCTGGTAAAGGAAATCTATAGATATACAAGAGAAACAAAAGTTAGATAAGGCGTCCTCCCCCTGCGTTCGCACCATCCCCTCCTCGCCAGACGAGGAGCGGGTAATGAGGACTTCATCAATAGAGCTGTTGGACAAATTGAATATATACAAATCAGCAGGGTGATATGGATCCCCTGGACTTACCAGAGAATTAGTTAATGAACTTACCAAATTACGGGCAATTATTTTTGAAATGTTATGAAGAAAGTGAAGAAAAAAAAAAAAGAAGAAGATGAGGCAGATAAGCCTTGAGAAAAAAATGACTAAGACAAGCGTGTTTTAATTCCTGGCACAACTGCCCCCCAACACACAAGCACACACACAAATTTGAAAAGTGAAAACCACAAACTCTGATGCAGAAAACAAGGTTCACTGGCTTTAGACTGGCTCATGGCTTTGTCTTGTCTTTATTAAGTACACAGGGTAGCATATCAGGGTGAAAATTCTCCTACCCCTTGTGTTTTTCTGAGACTTGGATGAAGGAACATCACACAGCTGAGTTTTTTAAACCTCACTGATGCTTGTGCCTGGGTGATGTCCCCTAAATACACTCTTCCAGGTCAGAAAAAAGTAAGGGCAGTGACTGCTTTTTCACTTAGGGAGTGAGATCTCTTATTGGGGAAGGACTGAGACAGGACAAGAATGTCTCCTCACCCTCCGAGGCCTTCATTGCTCTTTTTTTTTTTTTTTAAGATTTATTTATTTGTTTGTTTGTTTTATACATGCACTGGGCAGAGTCAGAAGTGCGGGAAAGTGAGAGAATTCACCAGAGCCAGAGCGGGGAGCAGAGCAGGCAGAAGGACCGAAGCACACTGCTGAGGGGAGCAGCGGGCGGCAGGAGAGGTCTGCGCACCATGTGGGACCCTCCTCCGGTGGCCGGGGAGCAGCCGGGATCGAACCGGCGCTGCAGAGGCTGCGGGCAGCTTCGCAACCCAGCGCTCAACCACTGCGCCACCGAGGAGGACCTTCATTGCTCTTAATGCGAAACAAACTGCATTCCTTCAGAATGGAAGGGACTGTGAGGCCCATGGAGCACCCACTCACCTTAGTTCCTCAGTCCCAAGTGATACTGAAGAGGCATACTCTGGACATCCTGAGGGAAGCCTACTTGGCCCTTTTGGGAAGACTGACTGTAGGGTAAGGTAAAAAGTGTCAGGCTTTTCTGCCCTCCCGCCATCAGGATAGATGACGGAACCCTGCGGTCCCGAATGCATGCCTGATGGCGGGCACCTGCAGTAGGGTGTGGGCCTAGGTAGATGGGATTCACCTGGGCTAAGAATGGGCTTTTAAGGGCGGCATCACGGGGACGCGAGCAGAAGCCGAGAAAGAAGCAGGAGAGCAGAGCAGAGAGAACCCGAGAGAGCGCCAGAAAGCCCAGAAAGAGTGAAGACTTGCTGGGGGCTGGGAGGCCTGCCAGCCTTCTGGCCCCCCAGCATCCCTGCCTGCTGTGTACCTGGTAAATCCCAATAAAAACTTGAAAAGCCACTGAGGGCTCCAGGACTGATGACTCCTTTACCTGGTCTGCTGGATCATAGAAAACCTGCACTGTGCCCCTTCCTGCCCCTACACTGACCCCATGGCAGCAAGTGGGGCAAAGTGAACCACCTTGTCATAAAATACCCACATTTCTGCATTTTGTTGACATTTACTCACAAGATCACTGAGTGCAATGGATATGAATGCACAGCCAGATGGAAGAAATGCTCAGGGTAAGGTGTAGAGAAGAGACCGGGAGTTTCCATGTCTTCCCTAGTCAGGCCATTCTCCCCCAAATCTTGACATGTTCACCAACCCAGGACCTCGCCGAAGCCCCTTCCTCTTGGGCTTTGATGGCAGCTTGCACGTAGGCACCGGTGATTAAGTCATTTGCCATTGACAACTGCTGGCCACCTCTATCCCTTCTCCCAGGACACCAGGAGTGGGGCTAAAAGTCCCACCCCCTATTCTCATTGGTTTCCCCAACAATGAGTGCCCCCTCCCCAGATAAAAGGCCTACACTTCTGCCCCGCGGCCAGGGGCTTCATCAAGGACGCCCTTTCTTTTCCTATCTTTGCACGTCAGGTTTGGCTGAGTCACATTTGCGAGTCTGGCCCCAGTACACACAGATCTTGGCATCAACGCAACCAGACACGAAGTCATCTTGGAGAGGACTTAGCGATGCATGTTGAGAGCAGGAAGTCAGCCTCTGCTAGAAACTGTTTCCTTAAGCTGCACTTGCAGAATCTGCTGCTGACCTGGCTGGAGTTGGCTTCCCAGTGTCGCGGGTGGGTCCTCAGGTTTACAAATGGGGCTCAGCAAGGGATCTTGGATGGTGACCCTAGAGAGAACGGCTCTCACCAAAACCAGTACAGAGCAGCTAGGGGGAAGGCAAGGTAATATGCAGCAAGGAAAACTCACCTAGAGAGGCACGGGACGGAGGCATTGGAAAGCAGCAAGAGCATGGAAACCAGAGGAGAGAGTGGAGAGTAAATTCTATGTGATTTAGCAGCCAAAGAAAAGGTCTGGGGGGCCGGAAGGGAGATGATGGTGTCACTTTCTATTTATCCGCCATCTTTCATTGGAGCATCTTAAAGCACATTACAAATAGCAGCTCTTTAATCCTCCCAGAGGAGGATGCTGATTTGAAGGGTCCCCTGGGGAGCAAGAAATAAACTCCAGGATCAGACTCCAGGACCAATCTGCACTCTGCCTCTCGACACCCTTGGTTGTAGATGACCTGGCCTAAGGCAAATGAGACGTGAACAAGGACCCTAAAATGAGTCAAATGAGTCTCCATGATATGTGCCAAGTCTTCAAAATATGTGGACTCTTTCCCCTGGTTTACTTAACTTTTAAAAAATCTATGCCAAGATAAACAATAATTTCAAAAGACAATAAACAAGTGTTACACAAACATTTTCCTGTAACTAATAGCAAATAATTGTTAATAACTTAAATGTACAACAGGGGATTTGGTTAAGTACTGAAGATACAGGCCCCCAAAGGAATGATGTTAGCAATTAAAATACTTGAATGACATCTGCAAAACAGGGACATAACCTTCCTTGTGCTGTCGATAGTGAAATGCCATACACGACGTGCGCTGGTTCTCACCTGGGGGTGCCTGTGTGTCCTGTAGGCTGGGGGGAGCTGGGAGACATGGTTACATGGGTATTATTTTCATTGATTTTTTTTTTAAAAGGGCAAACAAACGTTTGCCACCCCAACTGTCCACTGACCCCCATGTCCCAGGACGAGCTGAGGCTACCTGGTGTGACCACCTCGATGCGGACAGCGCTGTGAAATCGCTAATATGTTAATAACGAGAAGCAGATATTGGGTGGTGGGATTACAGTGAGACTTATTTTTATTTGTTCCTTTTACTTTTCTGTAATTAATTTCTAACGTAAAATACACAAAGACAAGAAAGCAGTCTTATCTTCTCTGCTCCACAGGGAGAGGTCCGCTGCCTGCTTCCCGCTCCCGACGTGGCTGGGTGTGCGTGGGGGGCTCCCGTCGTGACCGGCTGCCGGTCTCGCTTCCTGAGGTCTTCAGGGTCTGTGGTTTATGAGTGTCGTGCGTGAAGTAGTCAGCTGGGCAAAAAGAAAATAAGCAAACTCCACACAAAAGGGAGGAATGCTTCAGTCAACACTGAAAAAGGGCTCTGGATGGAAACTCTTGATAACAGTTCTCAACTCATTTAAAAATCAGCATTAGCTACCAAAATGTAAAGTATTAGTTTTATTAAAATGCAAATCAATCAACTAATCTGTCTTTCTAGTAACAGTTGAATTGCAGTATCCGTGTCAATTAAAATAGTTTCCAATTTATTCTTGGCTGGAAGGAGGGTGGTCTTCTGAATTTTAAAATGCAAGACTCCCTTTACTGAAAATTATGTCTGTTCTCTCTCATCTCTCCTGTTTTTTAATTCA